GGGATTTATTGGGAATTTTTTTGGGAATTATTGGGAATTTTTGGGGGAATTATTGGGAATTTTTTGGGGAATTATTGGGAATTTCTGGGAGGATTTTTGGGATCGGGGACTCAGGACAGATTTTTTGGGATCCAGGACAGATTTTTTTGGGATCCAGGGCAGATTTTTTTTCCCAAAAATCCCATTTTTCACAGATTTTTATTCTCTCCCTCTTCTCATAATCCAGGGGGAAAATCCCGAAGCTTTTCCCGGGATTTTTGAATTTTTTCCAGGATTTTTTTATTCTTTTTTCCAGGATTTCCATCCCAGGGGAAGCTCTTGCATAGCCAGGGGTGGGGGAAGGGAAAAAAAATGGGAATAAAAAGCGGGAAAATCGGGATAAAAGCGGAAAAATCGGGATAAAAGCGGAAAAATCGGGATAAAAGCGGAAAAATCGGGATAAAATCGGAAAAATTGGGATAAAAATCGGGATAAAAGCGGAAAAATCGGGATAAAATCGGAAAAATCGGGATAAAAGCGGAAAAATCGGGATAAAAGCGGAAAAATCGGGATAAAATCGGAAAAATCGGGATAAAAATCGGGATTTAGGAGGAGCCGGATCCTGGGATTAAAATTCCCTAAAAATTCAGGAATTTCCCCCCCCCCCCAAAAAAAACTCTCCAAGCTGAGGAATTCCAGGAATTGGAAAAAAATTCCAAATAATTCCCTAAAAAAATTCCCAATAATTCCCTAAAAAAAATCCCAATAATTCCCAAAAAAATTCCCAATTATCCCCAAAAAATTCCCAATAATTCCCTAAAAAATTCCCAATAATTTCCTAAAAAATTCCCAATAATTCCCTAAAAAATTCCCAATAATCCCCAAAAAATCCCAATAATTCCCAAAAAAATTCCCGATAATTCCCTCAAAAATTCCAATAATCCCCAAAAAATTCCCAATAATTCCCAAAAAATTCCCAATAATTCCCCCAAAAAATTCCCAATAATTCCCTCAAAAAATCCCAATAATCCCCCCAAAAATTCCCAATAATTCCCTAAAAAAAATTCCCAATAATTCCCAAAAAAATTCCCGATAATTCCCTCAAAAAATCCCAATAATTCCCTAAAAAATTCCCAATAATTCCCCCAAAAAATCCCAATAATTCCCTCAAAAAATCCCCAATAATCCCCAAAAAATCCCAATAATTCCCTAAAAAAAAGTCCCAATAATTCCCTAAAAAAATTCCCAATAATTCCCAAAAAAATTCCCAATAATTCCCTCAAAAATTCCCAATAATTCCCTAAAAAAAGTCCCAATAATTCCCAAAAAAATTCCCAATAATCCCCAAAAAATCCCAATAATTCCCTAAAAAAAAGTCCCAATAATTCCCTAAAAAAAAATCCCAATAATTCCCAAAAAAATTCCCAATAATTCCTTAAAAAAAATTCCCAATTATCCCCAGAAAATTCCCAATAATTCCCTAAAAAAATTCCCGATAATTCCCTCAAAAATTCCAATAATTCCCCCAAAAATTCTCAATAATTCCCTAAAAAATTCCCAATAATTCCCTCAAAAAATTCCCAATAATCCCCCCAAAATTCCCAATAATTCCAGGAATGGGAATTTTCTTGGGAATTCCAATCCTTACGGGATTTTTTTTTTTTCCTGGTTTTTTTTTTTGGTTTCGGCCCCAAAAATTTCCGGGATTTCTTTAAATTAAAGCGGGGACAAAAAAAAAAATGGGAATTTTTTTTGGTTTTTTTGGGAGACTGAAATTCCCAGATTTTGCGGGGTGAGGGATGGGATGATCCCAAAAAAAAAAAAAAAAAAAACAACCCAAAAAACCCCAAAGGCGGATCCTGGAATTCCCAAATCCGGGAATAAAGTGCAGAAATGTCCGTGGGGGGAGGGGAATTCCCGGATTTTTTTAAATAATAGGGGATAAATATTCCCGTGGGAAAAGGGGGGAGGGGATCCCAAAGTTCTCGATCCAGGGGGAATTCCAGATCCCAAAGTTCTCAGTCCTGGGGGAATTCTGGATCCCAAAGTTCTCGATCCAGGGGGATCCCAGAGTTCTCATTCCAAGGGGATCCCAAAGTTCTCAATCCCTGGGATCCCAAAGTTCTCGTTCCATGGAGAATTCCAGATCCCAAAGTTCTCGATCCAGGGGGAATTCCAGATCCCAAAGTTCTCAGTCCTGGGGGAATTCTGGATCCCAAAGTTCTCGATCCAGGGGGATCCCAGAGTTCTCATTCCAAGGGGATCCCAAAGTTCTCAATCCCTGGGATCCCAAAGTTCTCGTTCCATGGAGAATTCCAGATCCCAAAGTTCTCGATCCAGGGGGAATTCCAGATCCCAAAGTTCTCAGTCCTGGGGGAATTCTGGATCCCAAAGTTCTCGATCCAGGGGGATCCCAGAGTTCTCATTCCAAGGGGATCCCAAAGTTCTCAATCCAGGGGGAATTCCAGATCCCAAAGTTCTCGATCCAGAGGGACTTTCAGATCCCAAAGTTCTCAATCCAGGAGGAATTCCGGATCCCAAAGTTCTCAATCCACAGGGAATTCCAGATCCCAAAGTTCTCAATCCTGGGGGATCCCAGAGTTCTCATTCCAAGGGGATCCCAAAGTTCTCCTTCCATGAGGAATTCCAGATCCCAAAGTTCTCGATCCATGGAGAATTCCAGATCCCAAAGTTCTCGATCCATGGAGAATTCCAGATCCCAAAGTTCTCGATCCAGGGGGAATTCCAGATCCCAGAGTTCTGATTCCACAGGGATTTGGGGATCCCAAAGTTCTCATTCCAAGGGGATCCCAAAGTTCTCGATCCCCAGGGATCCCAAAGTTCTCGATCCAGGGGGAATTCCAGATCCCAAAGTTCTCGATCCATCAGGAATTTCGGATCCCAGAGTTTTCATTCCAGGGGGATTTGGGGATCCCAAAGTTCCCAGTTCATGGGGAATTCCAGATCCCAAAGCTCTCGATCCCTGGGGATCCCAAAGTTCTCGTTCCAGGGGGAATTTCAGATCCCAGAGTTCTCAGTTCATGGGGAATTCCAGATCCCAGAGTTTTCATTCCAGAGGGATCCCAAAGTTCTCATTCCAAGGGGATCCCAAAGGTTTTGATCTGTGGGGATCCCAAAGTTCTCAGTTCATGGGGAATTCCAGATCCCACAGCTCTCGATCCCTGGGGATCCCAAAGTTCTCGTTCCAGGGGGAATTCCAGATCCCAAAGTTCTCGATCCAGGGGGAATTCCAGATCCCAAAGTTCTCGATCCATCAGGAATTTCGGATCCCAGAGTTTTCATTCCAGGGGGATTTGGGGATCCCAAAGTTTTCAGTTCGTGGGGAATTCCGGATCCCAAAGTTCTCGATCCCTGGGGATCCCAAAGTTCTCAGTTCATGGGGAATTCCAGATCCCAAAGTTCTCATTCCAGGGGGATTGGGGGATCCCAAAGTTCTCGTTCCAAGGGGATCCCAAAGTTCTTGATCCCTGGGGATCCCAAAGTTCTCGATCCCTGGGGAATTCCAGATCCCAAAGCTCTCAATCCATGGCGATCCCTAATTTCTCATTCCAGAGGGATCTGGGGATCCCAAAGTTCTCGATCCCTGGGGATCCCAAAGTTCTCAGTTCATGGGGAATTCCAGATCCCAAAGTTCTCGATCCCTGGGGATCCCAAAGTTCTCATTCCAGGGGGAATTCCAGATCCCAAAGTTCTCGATCCCTGGGGATCCCAAAGTTCTCATTCCAGGGGGAATTCCAGATCCCAAAGTTCTCAATCCCTGGGGAATTCCAGATCCCAAAGTTCTCGATCCCCGGGGATCCCAAAGTTCTTGATCCAGGGGGAATTCCAGATCCCAAAGTTCTCGATCCCTGGGGATCCCAAAGTTCTCATTCCAGGGGGAATTCCAGATCCCAAAGTTGTCATTCCAGGGGGAATTCCAGATCCCAAAGTTCTCGGTCCCTGGGGATCCCAAAGTTCTCAATCCATGGGAATCCACCTGGGGAATCTTTCCCTGGGAGCGCTCCCGGATCTCTCCTCGCCCTCCCCGCTCCCATCGGGATCACGCCGGGATCGAGGGGAATCCCTGGGATCTGCCCCGACGGCTCCTTCCCGAAGAGTTCCCGGGATCCACCCAGACCAATCCTCTGCTGGAGGAGCCCCCGGGATCCACTCGGAGAAATCCTTCACTGGAAAAGCTTCTGGGATCCACTCGGAGAAATCATTCCCTGGAAAAGCTCCCGGGATTCACTCGGAGAAATCATTCCCTGGAAAAGCTCCCGGGATCCACTCGGAGAAATCCTTCGCTGGAAAATTCCTGGGATCCACTCAGAGAAATCCTTCACTGCAAAAGCTTCTGGGATCCACTCAGAGGAATCCTTCCCTGGAAAGGTTCCTGGGATCTTCCCCGACAGCTCCTTCCTTGGGGGAGTTCCGGGATCCACTCGGAGAAATCCATCCTGTGGAGAGTTCCTGGGATCTCTCCAGACCAATCCTTCCCAGGAAAAGCTTCTGGGATCCACTCAGACAAATCCTTCACTGGAGAAGTTCTTGGGATCCACTTGGAGAATCCTTCACTGGAGGAGCTCCAGGATCCACTCAGAGAAATCCTTCACTGGAGAAGTTCCTGGGATCTCTCCAGACCAATCCATCCCAGGAAAAACTCTTGGGATCCACTTGGAGAATCTCTCACTGGAAAATTCCTGGGATCCACCCAGGCCGATCCTTCACTGGAGAAGTCCCTGGGATCCACTTGGAGAATCCTTCCCAGGAAAAGTTCTTGGGATCCACTCAGAGAAATCAATCCCTGGAGAAGTTCCTGGGATCCACTTGGAGAATCCTTCACTGGAGAAGTTCCTGGGATCTTTCCAAAGCAATCCTTCACTGGAAGAGTTCTTGGGATCCACTTGGAGAATCCTTCCCAGGAAAAGTTCTCGGGATCCACTCAGACTGATCCTCCACTGGAAGAGCTCCTGGGATCTCTCCATACCAACCCTTCCCAGGAAAAGCTCTTGGGATCCACTTGGAGAATCCTTCCCTGGAGAAGCTCCTGGGATCCACTTGGAGAATCCTTCCCTGGAGAAGCTCCTGGGATCCACTTGGAGAATCCTTCGATGGAAAAGTTCCTGGGATCCACCCAAACCAATCCTTCCCAGGAAATGTTCTTGGGATCCACTCAGACCGATCCTCCACTGGAGAAGCTCCTGGGATCTCTCCAGACCAATTCATCCCAGGAAAAGCTCTTGGGATCCACTTGGAGAACCTTTCACTGGAAAAGTTCCTGGGATCCACCCAGGCCGATCCTTCACTGGAGAAGTTCCTGGGATCCACTCGGAGAAACCCACCCCTGGAGAAGTTCCTGGGATCCACCTGGAGAATCCTTCACTGGAAAAGTTCCTGCGATCCACCCAGACTGATCCTTCACTGGAAAAGTTCCTGGGATCCACTCGGAGAAATCCACCCCTGGAGAAGTTCCTGGGATCCACTCGGAGAATCCTTCCCAGGAAGAGCTCTGGGATCTCTCCACACCAACCCTTCCCAGGAAAAGTTCTCGGGATCCACTCGGAGAATCCTTCCCAGGAAGAGCTCTGGGATCTCTCCACACCAACCCTTCCCAGGAAAAACCTCTCGCCCTCCACCCCAAACCCCTCCCACCCCCACCAGATCCCGCCAGATCCCAGCAGATCCCGCCCGGGATCAGGGCGTGTAGGCGGGCGGCGGCTGGAACTGATTGACCACCTCGTAGTCGGGCCCGTAGGGCTCGGCCTCCTCCATCTCCGACAGCAGCTCCAGCGCCTGCTCCTCTTCCTCGCTGGGGTAGTGACGAAGGAGGTTGGCGGCCGTGGCCAGGATGGAGGCGCCGCCCGCGCCGGCCACCAGGTAAAAACTGACGGCGAAGGTGACGAACACCTGAGAGCCGTGGTACTTCTTGTGCTGCTGCTGCTGCGCCAGGAGCAGCTCCGAGGCCCAGTAGCAGAAACCGATCACCGTGGCGCACTGCAGGACTGGGGAATGGGGAAAAAATGGGGGAAAATGGTTAAATTTGGGGAAAAAATGGGGAAAAAAGGGGTTAAATTTGGGGAAAATGGGGAAAAATGGTGAAAAATGGGAAAAAATGGGTTAAAATTGAGAAAAATGGGGAAAAAATGGGTCAGGTTTGGGGTCTGGGAGCAGCTCCGAGGCGCAGGAACAGAAACCGATCACCGTGGCGCACTGCAGGACTGGGGAATGGGGAAAAAATGGGGAAAAATGGTTAAATTTGGGGAAAAAATGGATTAAAATTGGTGAAAAAGGGGTTAAATTGGGGAAAATTGGGGAAAAATGGGTCAGGTTTGGGGTCTGGGAGCAGCTCCGAGGCGCAGGAACAGAAACCGATCACCGTGGCGCACTGCAGGACTGGGGAATGGGGAAAAAATGGGGAAAAATTGGTTAAAAACATGGTAAAAATGGTGAAAAATGGGAAAAAATGGGTTAAAATTGAGAAAAATGCGGAAAAAATGGGTCAGGTTTGGGGTAAAATGGGTCAGGTTTGGGGTCTGGGAGCAGCTCCGAGGAGCAGGAACAGAAACCGATCACCGTGGCGCACTGCAGGACTGGGGAATGGGGAAAAAATGGGAGAATTTGGTTAAATTTGGTGAAAAATGGGGAAAAAAGGGGTTAAATTTGGGGAAAATGGGGGAAAATGGGGAAAAATGGGGAAAAATGGGGAAAAATGGGGAAAAATGGGGAAAAATGGGTCAGGTTTGGGGTCTGGGAGCAGCTCCGAGGAGCAGGAACAGAAACCGATCACCGTGGCGCACTGCAGCACTGGGGAATGGGGAAAAAATGGGGAAAATTTGGTTAAATTTGGGGAAAAAATGGGAAAAAAAGGATTAAATTTGGTGAAAAAGGGGTTAAAGTGAAGAAAATTGGGGAAAAAATGGGTCAGGTTTGGGGTCTGGGAGCAGCTCCGAGGCGCAGGAACAGAAACCGATCACCGTGGCGCACTGCAGGACTGGGGAATGGGGAAAAATGGGGAAAAATTGGTAAAAAAATGGGTTAAATTGGGGAAAAAATGAGTTAAATTGGGGAAAAACACGGGAAAAATGGGTTAAATTGGGGGAAAAATGGGTTTAATTTGGGATAAAACATGGGAAAAATGGGTTAAATTGGGGATAATAGGTTAATTTAGGGGAAAAAACTGATTAAATTGGGGAAAAAATTGGTTAAATTGGGGAAAAATGGGTTTAATTTGGGATAAAACATGGAAAAATGGGTTAAATTGGGAAAAAATGGGTTAAATTGGGAAAAAAGGGTTAAATTAGGGAAAAATAGGTTAAATTAGGGAAAAATGGGTTAAAACATGGGAAAATGGGTTAAATTAGGGAAAAATGGGTTAAATTGGGGAAAAAATTGGTTAAATTGGGGAAAAATGGGTTAAATTGGGGAAAAAATGAGTTTAATTTGGGATAAAACATGGAAAAAATGGGTTAAATTAGGGAAAAAAGAGTTAAATTGGGGAAAAATGGATTAAATTAGGGAAAAATGGGTTAAATTGGGGGAAAAATGGGTTAAATTGGGGAAAAAATTGGTTAAATTGGGGAAAAAATGGGTTTAATTTGGGATAAAACATTGCAAAAATGGGTTAAATTAGGGAAAAAAGAGTTAAATTGGGGAAAAAATGGATTAAATTAGGGAAAAATGGGTTAAATTGGGGAAAAAATGGGTTAAATTGGGGAAAAAAGGGTTAAACTGGGAAAAAATGGGTTTAATTTGGGATAAAACATGGCAAAAATGGGTTAAATTAGGGAAAAATGGATTAAATTTGGGGAAAATGAGTTAAATTGGGGAAAAATTGGTTAAATTAGGGAAAAATGGGTTAAATTAGGGAAAAAGGAGTTAAATTAGGGAAAAATGGGTTAAATTAGGGAAAAATGGGTTACAACATGGCAAAAATGGGTTAAATTGGGGGAAAATGAGTTTAATTTGGGATAAAACATGGTAAAAAATCAGTTAAATTGGGGAAAAAATGGGTTTAATTTGGGATAAAACATGGCAAAAATGGGTTAAATTAGGGAAAAATGGGTTAAATTTAGGGAAAAATGGGTTAAATTGGGGAAAAAATGAGTTAAATTGGGAAAAAACATGGAAAAAATGCGTTAAATTGTGGAAAAAATGAGTTTAATTTGGGATAAAACATGGAAAAAATTTATTAAATTAGGGAAAAAAGGGTTAAATTGGGGGAAAACGGGTTAAACCAGGAAATGGGTATTTTTGGGGGCCAATAAAGCGAATTTTTTGGGATTTTTTTGGGGGGGATTTCTCTGGGATAATCCCACCTGTGAGGATGTGGGCGAAGGCGTAGCGCCGCGTGATTTTCAGGGCCGGATGTTTGGGCCCGAAGACGTCGAGCAGGAAAGCGCCGAGGCTGCAGAGAATTCCCAGGAAGCAAAAAGCAGCAATAACCCGGAGGAGCAGCACAGTCTGTGGATTCATACAGAAATCTGGGGGAAAAAACGGGAAAAACGGGAAAAAAACGGCGTTGGCGGGAGCGAAAATACGATTTTTCCGCAAAAAAACGCGATTTTTCCGTCAAAAAAAACCCAAAAATCGGCTTTTTCAGCTAAAAAAATCGGTTTTTCCAGTCAAAAAATCGGGTTTTCCAAGGAAAAAAATCTCCCTAAAAATCTGATTCTCCACCCAAAAAAAATTCAGGAAAATTCAGATTTTTTTGCCTCTAAAAATCCAATTCTCCCCCAAAAAATCCATTTCTACACCCCCAAAAAAATTTGGGAAAATTCAGATTTTTCTGCCCCAAAAAATCCATTTCTACACCC